TAAAAACATGGCAAAACAAACGACTGTCTTTGCACAAAACAATATGCACAACTTTTCATTAAATTCAAATCATAATAAAATGCAAACAGATGGTTGAAAGTTTAGAATCTGCACCTTCCCCTAGTCTCATTGAGCAACAAATGAGAATTAAAGGTAAAATTACTATGAATTAACATATGTATGAATACTATACATTAACAGGTTCCCCTAAAACAGAACAGGATTAGGAAACCCAGAATGGTTCTGTGGGATGGCGACAATGCGGTGCTTCAGATGCATCTTCATCCTACAAGCCTAAAAAGTGCCCGAGTGAATCAGGGCCATCAGGGAGAGCAGGTCGTGTTCAGTGGGCTCTCTGTGATGCGTTTCTCTTTTGTTTTGCTAGCTGGGTGGGCTGTCCGTGAGGAAGGCGTGCATTAATGTGAGTGGACTTTCATTTATAGGAGTCCATTAGAGCAAAATGTGCCTGTCTCAGAATCAGGACCAAACACCCACACAGCGGCCGCTGCTCCTCTCCACACAAACCTCCTTCAGCGCAATTCATTAGCCTGGATTTGGAATCAGCATGTTGCCCAAAATGGCTTCTTCTCTGCTCTTCTCCTTTGAGGTAATGTGGAAGGACGTGGGCAATAATGCAGAGTGGAAATGAGTTTTCAGGCGGAGAAAGCGAGTAAAATGGAAAAGCGCTGCTGGTTCTCTGTTTGATCATTATGGTACAGTATAATCAGGAATGTTAAACTAATCAGGCCTTCCATTATTGAAACACTGAACTCACTGAAATAGATGTAACAGATAAACACAGGGGCCTCTTTGTGGCGTGCGCTGGCCCCCCGGGCCCCGATGGTGGCTGCGAGAGCCTGCCGGAAGGACGAACCCCGGCAAACACTGAGCGGTAACGAAACCCAGCTCCAGGTGGGGGACAGAGCGCAAAGCCTGAGCTCCGCCGAGGGACGAGAGTGATGTAAGTGATGGCGGGAGGAGGAGGACGATGATGGTGCCGGCCACGAGAGGCACGAGGGCAAGGAAGAGAGAGAGAGAGAGGGAGGGAAAGAGGGAGGGAGAGGGAGAGGGAGAGGGAGAGGGAGGGAGAGACGGAGGGAGGGAGAGAGGGGGAGAGCGAGAGAGGGAGGGGGGGAGAGAGAGAGAGAGAGGGGAGAGAGAGAGGGAGAGAGAGAGAGAGAGAGAGGAGGGAGGGAGGGAGGGAGGAAGGGAGGGAGGGAGAGGGAGGGAAGGAGGGAGGGAGGGGAGAGAGAAAGAGAGGGAGGGGAAGAGAGAGGAGAGAGAGAGGGAGGGAGGGAGGGGAGGGGAGGAGAGAGAGAGGTAGGGGAGAGAGAGAGGGAGGGAGAGAGGGAGGGAGAGAGAGGGAGGGAGAGAGGGAGAGAGAGAGGGAGAGGGATAGGGAGAGGGAGAGGGATGGACGGATGGATGGATGGACGGATGGACGAGCAGGAGCAGCAACAGAAGAAGAGACTGAGTGAAGAGCTGAAAAGCTCTAGTGAAGAAAGTTTGCTTTGTCTTGTTTATTTGGTGACCGTGAATCCTGCTTCCAGTGTCCTACTTGTGCCTGGGGCAGCACAGGGCGCACTACATGCTTATACAAGGGTACAACCTTATATCAAAGCTGAGTGCAGAACTGACCACCTTTAATCACGTCTGCTTTTGAAAAATTTCGTACGTCGTGGAAACGAGCAGAGATTTGAGAGCAAATGATGAATTAGCATCAGTGTTTACCTACCACAACCATCTACCTATTACCTACATGAACCTTATTTCATGCAGATGTTTCAGTAAATCAGCAGCACTCAGAGGCTTGTGAGCCACTGCCTGTGCTTATAGCCAGAGCCTGAGTAAAGTAGTGAGTGCACTGCTCCCCCTACTGAACATTATAGCATTAAAGTTACAACAACTGAAAAGAACAAAATGTAAAATAAACTAAATTGACAACAGTGTAAGTTGATGCAGGCCACAAAGTCCAGCTCAGGCTCCAATCTCAAATAACCAGCTGTTATCAGCTGATCTCAATCAGGCTAAATTAACCTGCCCATTCTTGCCGCTTCCTCTGCGGGCCACTTTGCAACCCACCTCCACCCCAAGTCTTCCTTCATGCTGTGTCTGACTTAATCAATGTCATGTTTGTTGTCATTGATACCTGCTCTGTTCTGTACACTACTTCCTCAGAAATAAAGGCAGTAAACTGTCTCTGGGTCAGTGCCCCACTTGTTACTGTGGTGGGACCCTCAAGGGTACATCTCAGTACCTTTAGTCAGGGAACATAACTGTACCATAATCCACTGAAATGATATTTTCTAAGCTGTACTGACTCCACACACCCCGTCTCGCCTCCAGGCTTTTATTTTACTGTTCTGTTTTAAAACATTCGGTTATGAAAAGATACAAATGCGAACTTTTCACCTGGAAAAACTTATTTAAGGGGACATTTACATTGTTTGTACCTTGATGAACGAAAAATATACCTGCACATGTATCTTTATTTCTAACAGTGTAGGGGAGCTTTTCTGCTGCTCTCCCCTGCCTTAGGCTTTCCATGTATGCACAGGAGGTCCCAAAACAGAGCCAATATAACAGAGTAAATATAATACTGCAAATGGAAACAAATTTGAGGTGAAATGTCTTTTTACAGACTATAGAATGATGCTTTGTGTGATTATTTTCTAAAATAACACATTTAAATGCTGTGTTATTGCAGGGTATGAGATGCTTCTCCACTAGCTGTGTTTTGTATTGTTTATTTTGTGGACGGAGTCAGTAGAATAAAACTAAAGCACAGTGAAATATGTGAAATATACACCGATCAGGCATAACACTGTGTCCACTCACTGTCCACTCTATTAGACACTCCCACCTTGTCAGTCCACCTTGTAGATGTAAAGTCAGAGACGATAGCTCATCTGCTGCTGCACAGTTTGTGTTGGTCATTCTTTAGTCCTTCATGAGTGGTCACAGGACGCTGCCCACAGGACGGCTGGATATTGGCTGGATATTTTTGGTTGGTGGACTATTCTCAGTCCAGCAGCGACACTGAGGTGTTTAAAAACTCCAGCAGCACTGCTGTGTCTGATCCACTCACACCAGCGCCACACACAATAACACAACTCCACCACGTCAGTGTTACTGCAGTGCTGAGAATGATCCATCACCCAAATAGCACCTGCTCTGTGAGGGTCCATGGGGGTCCTGACCACTGAAGAACAGGGTAAAAGGGGGCTAACAAAGGATGCAGAGAAACAGATGGACTACAGTCTGTAACTGTAGAACTACAAAGTGCACCTATATAGTAAGTGGAGCTGATAAAATGGACACTGAGCGCAGAAACAAGGATAATGTTATGGCTGATCGGTGTATGTCTTTAAATATAACATGGAATAATAGCAACATTTGCTTATATTAAAGTGCATGTAAAATAAGTACATCCACTTTTGTAGTGGAGTGCCATGTGCACACATTATTAGTATTATTATTTTTTTCTATTTTTATTCTGATTATTGGTATTACAGAGTATTTTGATAAGTTTTTGTTAACATTTTTTTCAGGTTGTTAAAGTATTACACTCCTCCCAGATGTGAGTTTGATCATACAGATATACCAAAGATGAAACTGATGAATAACAAAACGCGTGTGTTCATTTTAAAGTCAGATTTCACTGTATGCAGCTTTGAGGAATAAAGCTCACTGGCCCAATACTGCATTCTTAAAGAAAACTGTCTTGCTGGCTCTGACAGCCATCAGTTAATTACCAAGGCATGTTAAAGAACCAGTAGAACTGGGGACTCTAGGAAAATGAGCCCTTTACTGTGAGCACTGATGTCACGTCATTTCATTCTTTGAACATTGTTCCATTAATGTATGCAAAAACAGAATACAGTCATTAGAATCTGAGAACCACCTCATTAGAGTATCGTCTCAAGAACCATGTATTACTATTTAATGTTGATTCTTCGGCAAAGATCAAATCAAATCAAGACATCATTCAGAGTTCATGATTAAAACATTACCCTTATTTCTAATACTATAAGTATTGTTTAAGAATGTTATGGTGTGCTAACAACTACCTGAAACCAACTATCCGATTCTGGAAAATAAAGGACTCCCTGATTTCTCCGTTGCACTTGACTTCGAGGGGAACCCTGCCTCCTTACTGGAGGGCAATCATTCTCTAAAGGTTTGATTTCTACACTCAGCCCCTCCAGCCATCGATTTGGTTTAAGTTAGGGAGCTTACAATACTGTAAACTATGGCATATTCCCTAAAATACTGTATATGAATGAATATAAATCGTATAAAACTCATATATGTTGCATATAAAATGATTAAACTATAATATACTGCATATAAACTGACATACATGACATATAAATTATAAATTTTAGGCAGTACCATATCCCTATATATAATATATATATAATATATTGTACATAAACCGACAAACACCACATATAAACTGATTTATCTGATATATACAGTAAATAACTGTATACTTCAGGCAGTGCCGTGTTCTGCGATGCATTATGATTCTTTGTACAACCTTCACACACACATATATATATGTGTGTGTGTGTGTGTGTGTTTGTAGAAGCTTCATATATATATATATATATATATATATATATATATATATATATATATGTACTCACTTTCAGACTTTGTGTGATCATTATGTCTATGCCGATCTTAAATGATTTCAGTACATTGTCATTTCTTGAAAGCAAAATAAATGTTACATAATATTAATAATGTTAGCTTAGCTTACCCTGATACCAAGGTAGTCCACTACCTAGCACACAGATCGCTAAGGCAACAAAACATATTTACAATTGTTTCAAAGGGTTAGTCTGTTCTGTTTTATTTAATATGCTCCACACCTTCTGCAGAGTAGCACTCATAATGTATGGCACATGTGCAGTTGTGTGGGGTAAGTGGGGTAAGGTGTGTGAGTCAACAAGAAAATGAAACTACAGGTAAGAAAGTGCAAATGTACTGACCAGAAGGACCAGCCGTAGTCCCACGTATGTGGTCTCCAGTCTTCTGGACCCAGACTGACTGTGATTTGAAACACCTGTGTGTACATCATATGAGCCACCATGCCCAGAAGACCTGGTGAGGAATACACAAACACACACACATGCAACGGATTTACATCATTCAGTTCAGTGATGATGTAAATGTATCACTGCATCATATATGGTGATGTACATTTTCAACATATACTACTTTATAAAAGGGCTCATATTGCTAACGTCACTTTTTTGGAAGATATGTTGGCTGATGAACACAAAATGTGTGCTGTGGTTTTACTTTCAGTTCCAAACATGAAACTAACATCCACAGGTCCAGCTTAGTTAGACTATAGACATCCACAGCTCCAGTTCAGTGACACTAGTTAACATCCACAGCTCCAGTTCAGTCAGTCTAGCTAACATCCACAGCTCCAGTTCAGTCAGTCTAGCTAACATCCACAGCCCCAGTTCAGTCAGTCTAGCTAACATCCACAGCTCCAGTTCAGTCAGTCTAGCTAACATCCACAGCTCCAGTTCAGTCAGTCTAGCTAACATCCACAGCCCCAGTTCAGTCAGTCTAGCTAACATCCACAGCTCCAGTTCAGTGAGACTAGATAACATCCACAGCTCCAGTTCAGTCAGTCTAGCTAACATCCACAGCCCCAGTTCAGTCAGTCTAGCTAACATCCACAGCTCCAGTTCAGTGAGACTAGATAACATCCACAGCTCCAGTTCAGTCAGTCTAGCTAACATCCACAGCTCCAGTTCAGTGAGACTAGATAACATCCACAGCTCCAGTTCAGTGAGACTAGCTAACATCCACAGCTTCAAATCAAGCTTGCGTCTGCATCTCTGCAGCAGCGTGTTGTGTAATTGGTTCTGAATTATCATTATCAGGTGTTCAGTGTTTGTTCCTGTGTTTATGCAATAGTCGATGTAAAGTAGTTAGTAACACTGCTGCCCTCCATGTGAAAGACTGGGGTTCAATTCTGCGCTTAGGCAAGCAAACCATGCTATACCAACAAGACCACATTTGCTTACTGTAACGTGATTGAATCGTAGGTTGTTACTAGTTAAGGCATGACTTATGGATTGAAGATACAATTTTGTAAAATAGGTGCAACTAACTAGTCAGGACCCCCATGGACCCTCACAGAGCAGGTACTATTTGGGTGGTGGATCATTCTCAGCACTGCAGTAACACTGACGTGGTGGTGGTGTGTTAGTGTGTGTTGTGCTGGTCTGAGTGGATCAGACACAGCAGTGCTGCTGGAGTTTTTAAACACCTCAGTGTCACTGCTGGACTGAGAATAGTCCACCAAACAAAAATATCCAGCCAACAGCGTCCTGTGGGCAGCATCCTGTGACCACTGATGAAGGACTAGAGGATGACCGACACAAACTGTGCAGCAGCAGATGAGCTATCGTCTCTGACTTTACATCTACAAGGTGGACTGACAAAGTAGGAGTGTCTAATAGAGTGGACAGTGAGTGGACACAGTGTTTAAAAACTCCAGCAGCACTGCTGTGTCTGACCAGCACAACACACACTAACACACCACCACCACGTCAGTGTTACCACAGTGCTGAGAATGATCCACCACCCAAATAGTACCTGCTCTAGGGTCCATGGGGGTCCTGACCACTGAAGAACAGGGTAAAAGGGGGCTAACAAAGTATCAGAGAAACAGATGGACTACAGTCTGTAACTGTAGAACTACAAAGTGCACCTATACAGTAAGTGGAGCTGATAAAATGGACAATGAGCGTAGAAACAAGGAGGTGGTCATAATGTTATGATCGGTGTATATTGATCTAACTAGCTTGTATGTTTAGTTACATAGTGGGGAAACATATTTAGTTCTCGCCAAAAAAAATACTTTGCTTGAATTTACATTACACAAATGTAAAGTGTATTAAAATGATCACAATTTTGTATTTTGCATTTTGCATATTGCATTTGGCAATAACTGTAATCATATATTTAAATCATGTGGCAAACTGAATCAAGTAAATTCAGTGCGGCACTGTTTGTTTTCAGTGTGCAGTAACTAAAGGCACTGCACTCATGCTAAAAGCATCTCCTCCAGCCGTTGATTGATGCTGGCGAGCTGCAGTGGCGTGAACCTTTTTAACCCGTGTCAGCTGACTGCGCTGAAGCTCATCTCTGGGTGGGAGTCTCGTCCCAGGGCCTCAATGCCTGAACGGATGCTGCGGACGGAATTACTGAGTATTAAAGGCCCAAATGAACAGAGCTGGGGGCCAGTGGGCAAATCAAATAATCTGAATTCAAAAAGCAGCAGCTGTTCCTGGCAATCTGACAGCAAGGGTTTACCTAACGCAGCGCCGCTGAGCTGCTCCCTGCAGACAGATGGGTCTATCACTGCACACCACGGCAGGGGCTTTCAGACAAGTACAGTGAGACCCTGCACTGCTGCCAGTATAAAGATGGGAAAAGTAACACATACTATGTACTCAATTACAATTACATAAGACTGGATTTGTACTTTGCTGAGTATTTTCAGGTTTTTGAAATACTGTTTTTAAAACATTAAAAATGTGTCCATACTACATCAATTATTTAAAAAAAAAAGTGAGGAAAATTCTACTTTCCAAAAAATTCCTTTAAAAAATGGTCCTTGTTAATAATCAAAAACACAACCACAACACATGTAATTATACATCTGTACATATATTTTCGTATTAAGAAGTTTGAACACCCCTGGTCAATTACATGTTTTAAGTTAATACATCGTCTACAGGGAACAACAAACTTAAATATGGTATTTTCTTCGAATTTAAGTGCACAATCTCTGTTTATTTCCTGAGTATACATATTGGAAAAAAATAAAATATAAAATGTGGCGAAGAAATTGCACAGGCATTATGTTTTACTTTGTTTCAGTATGATTAATTCAGCAAATAAACAGTACATGTGCATTAAAACATACAGAAGTGTGTTCTCTGTAGAGGATGTGTTAACTTTTTTACACTTAGTAAATCAACAAAGCACGTCATTTGACCAGGAGTGCCCAAACTTTGGCATATAGCTGTATTTGCAAAGAAAAGAAGCTACTTTTAACTTTATTTATATTCTATTTCAATTCTAAAATGGGAATTTCACGTTTTTTTTTTTCAACATTTCCGCATAAGTCATTAGTTGAGATCTAAAGTTGGGATGCAAATTCCACCTAATTTTGATATTTGAGTATCCCCAAGAGTTGATGAATGTATAATCAGCTGACCGCAGTAAGGAAAGAGGCTGACAGTGCTGGTGTTAGAACGCTAAAGCCTGAAAACATGTTTTATTATTCAAAAATAGCTGAGAGATTTTTGTAGATTGAGTAACAGAGGCTGCCCCTTCAGATGAGCTAATGAGCTAATACTAGAGCTAACTGATACAACATTAGTTACATAGTTAGATGCTAATAAGGACATGTTGTGCTTTCTCCTCAGTGGACAACATGCCTACATGTCAGTTTGTCAGAGAAATGCATTTTCCAACTGCTTCTGGACCTAGCTAACATCACAGCTACACACTTAAAAATGATGGTTCTTCACTGGTTTAGCAAATAAAACCATTCTATATAGAACGATGAACACTCAAAGAAACTTTGCATGATTAAATGGTTCTTTGCATCATGAGAGAGTTCTTCAGATTGATGGAGAATGTGCTGTAGATGGCTCTATATTGGAACTTTTTTGAAAAGGGTTCTATGTAGCACCAAAAGGGTTCTTCTATTACTTCAAGCTTGACATTGTGACAGTAGAAAAACCCTTTTTGGTGATATATAGAAATATTTTCAAACTGTTCTGTATAGAATCCTTTCACGATGCTTAGAACACTTTAATCATGCAAAGGGTTCTTTGAGAGTTCCAGGTTCTATATAGAACCATTTTCTTCATTAAGAACCCTTGAAGAACCATCTTTTTAGGAGTGTAGAGTAGCTAGCCCAGTTAGCGAAACAGCTGAGCTGATGTTGAGGCACTTGTTTTTTATGGTAGGAAAGTTTAATATCATATATAATCACAAATATGCCCAAAACTCATATTTTACAGTCCTGGTAAAACATAAAATCACTGAACTGTTAGCCTGTATATTTAACCAGTTTTCCCATTAAGAGTATGTAAACAGTGATTTCATTCAAATACTGGCACCTCAAACAGTTAACCGAGTACTTGAGTACCAGTCCACATCCATACGCTAAAGAAAGTCATTCAGAGTGGTTTGATGTGAAATGATTAATTGTAAAGAAACATACAGATTCAGATTTCTTTACAGTGGTGGTGATAGGAACCAGGGGTCACCATGACTACAACACAAATATAGACATTTTATTTACTATTCAGAACCACCAGTGAACCTACACGAGTCTTCTGAGTTTTTATTTGCAGTGCTGATGATGGTAAAATAGTGGAAAATCTGAAACTTTCTTTAGGCCAAAATCCTATTGCAGATCTGTCATAAAACAATGTTTCAGACATCTTCATAACCATTTCATGTAATAACTTTCAGTGAGGGAGCTTATAGAAGTGGACGTCTGGTTCCTATCACCACCACTGTGAGCTATTCTGACTCATTTCACACCAAACCACTTGGACTTTGTTTACATTGTAATGACTGAATTATGAAGAAATAAAAAAAAACAGTGGTATTCTCTTTTAAAATTTTGTTTAGTTTAATTTCATATTATTTAGCGACTGCATGCTTTGTGATCGGTCAGACCTCAGAGCTGGATGCTGGATGCACTAAGAAGCTGCAGGCCTATAAATTACTCTGTACTTTATTAGCTTTTTTTAGAATGTTTTACTTTTACTGTTGTCATTATTTCACCAGAATAACACTTTCACTGGAGTTTACTGGAGGCTACTTTGCCCATATCTACTAGTTTATTAGGTACAACGACAGTCGTTTTATCAGGTGTGCAATTAACCCCCCTCTACTTGGTCCATCAGTGGAAAGGGACCACTACAGGACTGCTGACTTATGATATTATTTGAGCAGTAGACAATTCTCAGCACATTGACCTTGACATGGCAGTATCAGAAACTAATGAAGGGTTGGAGAATGAGGATGCAACACAAACTGTACATCAGTAGATGGCCTAACTGTACACCAGCAAGGTGCAGCTACAATTACCTTTCCTCATTTCTCAACATTTGTTATTTTTAACAAAATGCCTTCAAAGCCTGTAGGTGTTCTGTGCTTTGGGAATGTCTGAACAGCTTGATTTTTTGTGTGATAATTAGGCCCAAACAGCAGAAAGCTCAGCTGTTTTCTCCTCTTTTGTTTTGGAGATCAATGGCGAGCATGCCTTAAGGGCATCTTGGGGTTAGATACGTTAGCCGAGGGCAGGAGATCGGCATTCAAAAGCCTTCGCTCTTGGAAGTTTCTGCCCTTCAGTTCAGCTGCCGTATTCTGTGGTGCCTTCCCACACTCTATCCCAGAACTGCCTGACAAGCACTGAGCTATCTGCACTGAATAAGATAATTACTATACATCATCTCCACATGAATAACACGGTTTTGTAGTTCAGTTTACATCTGTATTAATTGTATTGATGTTATGTATTTTTTTGGTTTGGAAATGATGAACTGAATCACTCAGTTCAGCAAAGTACAGAATGCAACACATATAAACACAGACTGAAGTTGGTAAGGCACCAAAAGAAACAGGTTTCAGTCTCAAACTACCAACTAGTAACAGAAATAGCACAAGGCCTGAACTCCACTTTACCCCATCATTAGAGGTGGAATGCAGAAAAAAGGAAGGTGGATCTGGGGAGCTGGGCGTGTGCTTGAACTATAAAGGCCAATTTACTCCTGGAATGTTTTTTTGTCATCCATTTGACTGATGGGCTACCATTTTAACCATTTCAGAAAAAATGAAAACCTAAATATATCCACTGCAACACGAGCAAAAACAAACTAGATAAACACACGTTCAATTAGAAATGGGACAGGACAGGATAAGATGGGATGAGAAAGGAAAGAAAAGGACAGAAAAGAAAAGGAAAGGAAAGGGAAGAAAAGGAAAGGAAGGAAGAAAGTAAAGGAGCAAGGAACGGAAAAGAAAGAGAATGGAAAGAAGAGAGGGAAAGGAATTCGGGAAGTGAAGGGAAGAGAGGAGAAGAAAAGGGAAGGGACGAGGCAGAGAACAGTATGGTCCAGGATGAGATGGGAAGGAAAGGAAAGAAAAGAAAGCAGAAGAGACAGAATAGAAGACAGGATGGGATAGGATAAGTTGGAAAGGAAAGGAAAGGAAAGGAAAGGAAAGGAAAGGAAAGGAGGGGGAAGCAAGTGAAGAGAAGGGAAGCTAAGAATAGGCAAGGGAAGGAAAGGGAAGGAAGAGATGGGATAGGACAGGACAAGCCATGATAAGATGGGACAGGAAAGGAAAGAAAAGGACAGAAAAGAAAAGGAAAGGGAAGAAAAAGAAAGAGAGGGTAGGAAAGAGAGGAAGAAAGAAGGGAAAGTAACAGGGGAGGAAAGGAAAAGAAAGAGAATGGAAAGAAGGGAATGGAAGGAATTGGGGAAGATGAAGGGAAGGGAAGAGAAGAATAGTAGAAGGACGAGACAGAGAACAGGATGGTACATGATAAGATGGAAAGGAAAGGAAAGGAAAGGAAAGGAAAGATGATGGGGAAGGAAGTGAAAGGAAGGGAAGTGAAGGGAAGAGAAGAAAAGGCAAGGAATGGAAAGGAATGGAAAGGGAAGGAAGAGACGGAATAGGACAGGACAGGATAAAATGGGGCAGGAAAGGAAAGGAAAGAAAAGGACAGAAAAGAAAAGCTGCTCTTGTGCCTGGAGTGCTTACGGAGTCAGACTGGATGGACTGCACAAATGAGCCCTTGCTTGTCACTCAGCCTGCGCTGGTGTGAGAGTGAGTCTGAGCTGGGACTGTGTATTGGTGGGTGAGAATGTATGTAAGTCTACCTGAGAGAACGGTGAAGACTGCGGCGAAGGCGTTCAGCTTCAGCCCATCGATCACATTACTGGAGTGAAAGAGCTCCAAGCACATCAGACTGAAGCCAACCACCAGGAGCATGATGTATAGCACCTCAGAGACCACTGACAGCCAAAGGACACCTGCAGCACCACACACACGCAAATACACACACACACCCCGGTGAGCACTCCACCGTCGCCTCATAATTCTGTCTGTCAGATCTGTTCACACAGTCCGCTGAGAGCAGACTCCTGCCTCAGCCTTCGGCATCAGCAAACAGGGGCTCGTTTGGGACGTTTAAATAGGTTAGCCCCTTTAAACTGCGGCCTGATTATTCAGTTATTCATCGTAAGGCTCATTATTCAATAACGGCTACCAGTTTTTCAGTGTCTACTACGAATTGTTCAGTACCTGTTACACAATTATTCCGTAACTACTGAGACTTATTCATTAACTACAATGAACTATGCAATAACTGGGTCATTCTACAGAAACGTCTATTTTTGTGTCCCTAGCATTTACAGATATATTACACTTAAAAACCATCTTAGGGTTACAATTTATTTATATTTTAAAATGAAGCAATACGTTATTTCAACAATTACACCTTCTTGAGCCGCAATTTAGCAATATTGTTTTTAAATCAATTATCTAGAATTCCAAGCACCACAGAAGAGCTCATCGTCACAGTCATGTGTGAAGGCTGAGGCCATATTTTGAAGAAGAAAAACACTTTTTCTGCAATTTTAACTACAATAATCTATACATGACTATGGAATACATAAATGAGATGACATGAAGAAAATAAAAGCCAAATAAATATTTTAAAAAATATAATGAAAGCTGTGGTCCCCAGGAGTCGTGTCACTGGTGTTACTGCGTCACAAAAAATCTCTTATTTTGAAATAAAAGTCACACTGATGACATCACTCGACTTCCTTTCACCTGTTTTCTGAGGATCTATGAAGAAAAGCTCATGGTGAGTCCACTGGGTCTTTCAGTTATCAGAGATTTTCTCATTTAGCTCATGATTTCATATGAAGCTTTTAGCTGAAGTCACTGGTGTGACCGACTTTATTCTGAGGTAATTGTGAAAAAATCGAATACAAATGGATTAAATTACATATTTTAGTGGATATTCCATGATTGACAACATGTGGTTTGATGCTCTGTAGCAGCCATTTAGTAAAATGCATTGTTCATTAAAAATGTCTCTGGTGTTTCCTTTATTATGTGTAACACCAATGAGGACCAGTAACACCAGTGACTCCTATGGAGAGATAGAAAAGTGGACGTTTCTGTAGAATGAGCCAACTGCTGTAACTGATTCAGCAACTACTATACATTATTAAGTATCTACTATGAGTTATTATTAGTAATTACTAAGTAACTACTATGAATTATTCAACTTTTATGATTTTTTTCAAACATGGCTCAGGCCATCAGATTTTGGAAGCAGAGTTATTCATTTTCTGGTTCTCATACAGACATTTGTTTTGATGTTTCTGAGTGACGACTGGGTCCAATGACCACATCTGATGAAGGACAGCCGGGAAACCCAAAGATAGAGTGAATGAAAGCGAGTCTCTAATGTTCCTGAAGGTAGACAAGTCTCAAATATTGAATGGCATCCATTAATTGTTGGGAATTCCCACATTGAACCCGCAATCCGTTTGTTTATTAACTGGTGGTTGTCCTTGGGTAATCAGGGCCTCTGACAGTGCAGATCTGACTCCGCATGAGTCAGAAAAAGATCTGCTGGCATTACATGCTCCATGAAGCCTACACTCTGAGGACAATGAGTAAACAGATAAACAAAAAAAAAAGAAAATACGCACTCTCTCTAGGATGCAACTCTCATTAATGTCAGTTAAGGAAGATGATGCCACGACAGCAACATCTGCGGCGGAGAAGCAAAAAGCCGCTCTGGTATCTGCTGGAGAAATTGAATTCTTCTCTGAGAGATCAGGGGAAATTCTCTTATCTGTCAGACGGTCTCGGGAGTGTTTCCACAATAGCTATCAGCACCTCATTAGCCGAATCCCTCACTCCCTCGTAGAGCTTCTGAGGATGAACAGAGAGTGCAGGGGTTGTTTTTAGCCTTGGACCTGCTGCTGGAGCTGATCTCTCCATGATCTGCCCATCAACAGTGAGGCTGGACAAGCTTTACAAATTGTTAGAAAACCTGAATAAACTTGAAAAGGAAAACAGTAAATAGAAATTTCAACTTCAAAGCTTCAATAATTTAATGTCATGTTGCTAGCTAGGTAAGAGCCTATATATATATATCTCACGGCTTTCGGAAGAAAACCTTGTATCTCCATTTTTGTTGTTTTACAGTTTTTGACATGATTTGAAATACCTGTTGTGAATGACCAAAAGAAACGGCCCTAAATGACTTGGAAATATGTCTGGTTCCATTGACTTACATCAAAAGTAAAGTAGGTTTTTTCCTTCTGTAAATTTACCATTTTGGACATACAAGGTTTCTTCTGACAACAGCGATATATATATATATATATATATATATATATATATATGACACCATGACATTAAAGCTAAGCCCTCAGTTTGGGGTGTAAATGTCAAAACCAGGTAAAAAAAGAATTTCTGCTAGCACCCTAATGGGTTTCTAGGACTATGTTAGCACTAAGCTAATGGAGATGCACATGAACATTTTTGGTCATTCCACTCAAATATTTGAAGCTCGTGAAGACATTCTATATTTTATGTTTTTAAGCTTGCAATAGACATTAACACACATTTTACCTTTTTGCAGTTTCTTTCAGTAAATAGCCCTTGCACTGGCTAGGCTGCTCCGTTTTGTGGAGGTCAGATCAGGTCAGAGGAGGTCAGAAAACTAATCTGGCATCTGGATTTGGGCCAGTGTATTTGGTCAGATTCTGGGCAGTCATTCCAAAACAGTCAGAGCTAACATTGGCTGTCAATGTTAGACCAGCTGTGGCAGAAATTGGGGAAAAATTCCACCATTAAATGACTAGCTGAGCTAGTGGTACAGGCTACAATGTTAACTTAGCCAGCTCGCAAGACTAAAACCACTGAAGCCAATGAACTCTCTGCTTCAGATGTTTATGCTTAAAAATCTTGATTATATCACATAAAAACCTGCACCGAATCTATCCTACCTATCTACGTTAATGATTAATTAATTAATAGTTAACCGACATATAAACACAAATCTAATTTAATTTCCAATAAACATCAGTTCCTATTTGAATGAGCAGCTTAATCATCCAGCTGAGGAAGGTTTTTGAATCGTTCACATGAGGACACAATAGGCCGCTGGTTCTGCTAGACAGGCCCACCGTAAAATGAAACATTAGCACTTTTCGAGATAAGAATGAGTGGTAAATATAACTCTAATATATAGAACTTTCAGTGGCTCTACTTTATATATTTTAGTTATATACATGTATTCCAGTTTTGGTCATATAATCATGACCATATTCCTATGTAGGGTTTGTTAAACACACTTTGTCATATTCTTTACTTCATAACTTTCATATTTCTTTCCAGTCAAAAAATACAAAGAGCGCCTAAGATTTTTGGCTTTCAGCAGTAAACTGTAAGCATATGACATGTCTATGAGCATAAAACACATTTTCTAAAAAAAACACCAACAATTTACACTGGATTCATGCAGTTACTGAATAATTTACCTCCAGATGTGGGCATGTAAATTCAAATGGATAAACCAAAATATACCCTGGAGAATAACTGGTTATTATGGTCTCAGGCTCTTGTCACCTGTCAGCACTATGTTTCACACTCCATACAAGGAAATCTTTGTAATGAGGGTGGTGGAAATATTTTTTCAAATTATGAGAAATTATGTCACAAAATGCTTTTCTGAACATATCAAGTATATCATCAGTAATTTTAGAATACTGATCAACTGCATGTTTCATAAAGAGAGCTTAATTAGGCCTGTTTAAATGGATTTAGTGTAGTATGTGAAACTTATAAACCTAAGAAAAAATAATATTATGATTCTTATTGAGTATTGGGAACATCTTCAAGTACTGTGAAGTTATATTGTTGCCATATTGCCGATCTCTACTTTTTAATACCGCGGTGTATTATTACAGACTTCCGTTTTGCATTCATAAGATTGCGTGTATTAAGTATTTTACAACAGCTTTGAACGTGGCTCAGCCAATCAGATTTCAGAACCAGAACTATTAATTTTATAATTGATCATTTGATGAGTTTTATCCTTGATTTTAGGCTTGCTGGTTAACGATTAATCACCAACAGGTGGCTTTTTGGTCAAAGGAATTTGCCAAAACTTCCCTAATCCTAACAATGTGATCTTTCACATGCATACAAACTAAATAATATTTGAAATGCTCTGAATTTGGGTGTAAATTTAAATGCTCTAAATCCTCTAAATACTCCAAATTTAGCTGTTTTGCATCGCGTGCTACAGTTTCTATTTCGGTTAAATAAGATTTTTGTCTGCAAACAACAACACGGATAAGTAAATCCAGAGCAGGCCTCTACTACAGAACCCCACATCAGGACTTGGGCAAACTTTGGAGGGTTTGTTGTGTTTGTTTGTTTGTTACTTCCCGCTCTCCTCATGTCTGGTCTGGGTTTGGGAAGCTTGGCAAGCGATGCAACAGACAAAACAGTGTGATGAAAAGCATCAATTCCTAGCCTTGACAGCCACGTGCAATATTTATGTCCACAGCAGTTAGAGTTTGAGTATCTATGAGAATCCGGCCTGTTTTCCTCACAAGCTGCCATGAACAATAAGCCAGTATTGACGGACGCTCAGAAGAACCAGCTAAGAAAGCGAAGGCTCCTCATGGAGGCCTGATATTTTCTGACGTGCAGATCTCGCTGAACTCTTCCACCAACCTGAGCAGACACAGCTGACAATGGAGAAAAACAATTTCACTGCTGCTCCTCTCTAGACTCCAAATATAACAGCAGCTAGATGGAGGAGTGGTTCCAAACAGATAGAAATCAAAACGCACTCATGTCATTGTTGGTCCGTCAGCAAATAGGGTTCTAATCGGGGACCTTGAGTCTAAACCGGTCCTCTTAACAGAAAGAGGCCGTGCATAAAGGGGGCAGGAAAATCATGTCATTTCCTTCACAAGTATATTTCAGAGCAGCTGTGAATGAACCTAATTTGCTAGCAAATTTAATTTTCCTCGCTCGTTATTAAGAATTAATTACAGATTTGTCAACTATAGGCTGTTCAGTGCAGATTCATTATGCGCAGATGGCTCATGAAAAAAAAATTTCATATCTCAAACATGGTATTTCCCCCAGTGCTGCGAGCAGCGTCTTGAATAAACTTGGCCAATTAGAAGGTGGCCTTTGAAAATTTGCTTTGCAAAGAGAATGAATTGCGTAATTGAGAGTTAGACGCATTTCTAAAAAGGCCCTGCATCTCTTGGATTGTATTATTGTATTACTGGATTGCATATTTGGATGCTGGATCTTCACACGAGTAGTTTCAGTATTTCTCCTCCTGTTAATTCATGTGCATTTATAGTTCTATTCCATAGTATATGGGTCAGTCTGCCACTGTGGTGCCAAACAGGGCTCATAATTCATAGTATTTACTGCATAATTCATAGCAGCTAATGAATAATTCATGATAGATAATGAATAATTAAAAGTGGTTACTGAGTAATTCTTAGTAGACACTGAATAATTAATCGTAGGTACTAAATAATTCATAGTAGGTGCTAAAAAGTTCACTATTATTAGTAAGTAGAAAATAATTCATAACAGTTACTAAATAATTGGTAGTAGACACTGAATGATTCATACTAGTTATAGAAAAAGTCATAGTACATTCTGAATAATTAATAGCAGATGCAGAATTATTCACAGAGATTACCGAATAATTAATAGTAGATATAAAATAATTCATAATAGACATTGAAAAATGTATTGTAGATACTACATAATTCATAGTAGTTACCAAAAAGTTTACTCTTATTAGTAAGTACAAAATAATGGTGAATAATTAATAGTAGGTAATGGATAATTCATAGTATATTGTGAATAATAATCAGCAGATACAGAATAATTCATAGTAGTTACCCAATAATTCATAGCAGTTACTGAATAATTTATAAACATTACTGAATAATTCATAGTAGTTCATCAATAATTTATAGTAAATGTTGAATATTTCATAACATGCTGAATAATTCATAATAGATAGTGAATAATTCATAGTGCTAACTCATTAATTCATAGTAGTTACTCAATAATTCATATTAGTTACTGAATAATTTAAAGTAGTATCTCATTAATTCATAGTAGACACTGAATAATTCATAGGGCTGAAAAATTCATGGTAATTACTGAATAATTCATAGTCGATGCTGAATAATTCACAGTAGTTACTCAATAATTCATAAAAGATACTGAATAATTTTTCGTAGTCACTAAATAATTCATAGTAGATACTAAATAATTCATAACAGTTACTCAATAATTCATAAACGTTACTGAATAATTCACAGTAGTTACTCAATAACTCACAGTAGATACTGAATAATTCATAAAAGTTACTGAATAACTTTTGTTGATTACTTCATAATAATCCTGGAGGTTGAGGTCTAAAGAAACAGATTATAAATGAACAAAACAATCCCAAATGAAGTTTTCTGAGCACTGCCAGGGTGAAAAACACACATGTGTACATGGTCAGAGCATCCATATCTCTAAATGAGGCTGCCACAGGGGCAGAGATGGGAGACGCGCTGTTCACGGCCTGCAGCGCGTGCTGTCGGACAAGCCTCAACGCCGGCCTAATGGCGGTCATTACTCACCTCTCTCCGACGCTGGAGCCAGATCAATAAAGCTCCTGCATTTCTCACCTGAAAAAACACAAGACAACCACTGCGTTAACATCTGTGCTCTGCCTCTCTCAGAACAGCAATCACACAGGGCCGCAGAACGGCCGCTCCATTTCATCTCTATGGCACTCGTCCACTTTTAGAGCTTTCTGAGCATGTTTCACCTGCGGTGAAGTCTATTACATCCAGGAAGTCCGGTGTGGCACCAAACAGGTAGAAAATAACAACGTTTTTAAAAAGGGTGAGCAACATGGCTCAGAATATGATGTCACAATACTGACAAAAACGTTTTTGCCATAAATAATACGTGTCATGCATCATTTGAAGCTTTGTTCTGATTGGCTGACCTGTATTGCGCCTTATTTAACAAGTGGTCTGGGCTGAAACACTCCTTATAACTGGACTTCTATGATCCATATAGCTGTTCAGTGCAGAAGTACTGACCACACCCATCATACACTCAGAAAAAGTATTATGAAGTGATTTATCTTAATAACGATAATTTTATATTGCTCACATCTACTTTTTAATACCACTCATACGAGATTCAATTAGATTAGATTAGAAATTTGGCATTATATGATTAATGATGTAATTCTTATGATACGGCTGTAGAGTCTGAAAAGTAACACAAGCCTAAAAGGCACAGAGCTGAGAGAGAGAGAGAGAGAGGGAGAGAGAGAGAGAGAGAGAGAGAGAGGGAGAGAGAGAGAGAGAGAGAGAGAGAGAGAGAGAGAGAGAGAGAGAGAGAGAGAGAGAGGTAAAAGAGAGAAAAGAAAGATGTAAGAGAGGTAAAAGAGAGAGAGGGAAGAAAGAGAGACAGAGAAGGGAAAAGGGACGGGGAAATACAGAGGGGAGGGAGAGAATCAGAGAGAGGAAAAAGAGAGAAGAGGGAACTAGATAGAGGAAAGAGATAAATAGAAAGAAAGGTAAAAAAGAGGAAAGAGAGAGAAGAAAGAGAGAGGGGTAAGAGAGAGAAAGGGAAAGGTAAGAGAGAGAGAGAAAGGTAAAAGAGAGGAAAAAGAGGAAAGAGAGAGAGAAGGAAGAGAGAGAGAGAGAAGGGTAAGAGATAGAAAGAGAAAGGTAAGAGAGAGAGAGAGACAGGTAAAAGAGAGGAAAAAGAGGAAAGAGAGAGAGAAGGAAGAGAGAGAGGTAAGAGAAAAAAGTAGAAAGAGAAGTAAGGTAGACAGAGAGAGAGAGGAGAGAGAGACAGATAAAGGTAGAGAGAGAGTGAGATGAAAGGGAGAGAGAAGTAAAGAGAGAGAGAGGAGACAGAGAAAGAGAGATAGAGAGAGAGAAAGGTAAGAGAGAGAGAGGAGACAGAGAAAGAGAGATAGAGAGAGAGAAAGGTAAGAGAGAGAGAGGAGACAGAGAAAGAGAGATAGAGAGAGAAGGGTAAGAGAGAGAAAGAGAAAGATAAGAGAGAGAGAGAGATAAAAGAGAGAGAGAGAGGTAAAAGAGAGGAACACAGGGAAAGAGAGAGAGAAGGAAGAGAGAGAGAGGTAAGAGAGAAAAGTAGAAAGAGAAGTAAGGTAGACAGAGAGAGAGAGGAGAGAGAGATAGAGTGAGATGAAAGGGAGAGAGAATTAAAGAGAGAGAGGAGACAGAGAAAGAGAGATAGAGAGAGGGGAGAGAGAGAAAGAAAAAGAAATAAAACAGTAAAAGAGAGAGAAAAAAGAAAGGAAAAAGAGAGAGAGGAGAAGAGAGAGAGAGAGAGAGGAGAGAGAGAGAGAGAGAGAGAGAGAGAGAGAGGAGAAAGAGAGAGAGAGAGAGAGAGAGAGAGAGAGAGAGAGAGTGAGACAGGGAGAGATTTCTACGTGAGTTTTTGGTAAAAACAGCTCTGATCCAAACTCCTCTGTAAGGCGTCCTGCTGTATCTGTGTGAGCAGCGTGCGGCGCTCGGCTGTTACTTCATAAACCTTCTGCTTCTGGACGCTAATTGAAAGGTCGGGCGGTGGAGGGTGGGTGAAAGTGTGTGGTCGTTCTCTGAAGATGAGGAGCGAGGTCAGATGGAGGTGAAAGCGAGTGCTGTGTTACTCCTTCACTGCTCCCTTGAGAGGCCTACAGCTCCCCAGCCCTTCAATACAGAGGGAATACATCAGCACTCTCACTGCAGGGATCCAATCAGAGGTGACGGAGTCTTAACAACGGCTAAAACAACAGCTGGAATCTCATTGTTCACACTTAAAAACAGAACAACTGTTGTTTTAACCCCACTGTAATTACACCAAGGGGTCGATTTGAGGTGGGATGCAAATCCCCGATGCCAAAAAATGCACAAAACGCTTCCCTCCTAACCACCATCCCCCTCTTTACACCCCTTTAGAGTAATTCCATCACCTGAAATGTCTACTATTGATATTTTCACTCCCTCCATATTTGAGATTACCTATGATGGGCTAAATGTGTGAAAGTGCACAAAAAAGTCAATGCAAAAATGTCACCAGCTGTTTATGTCAGTTGGCTACAGTTGTTTTAATTCCACAGTATTACAAATTTTTAACTGTGCTAAAAATTTTAAAAATTTTGTTTACCTGCAGTTCATATCCACCAATGGTCTTGATTTTTATTTTTATAATTCAACCGCTGATCATACCGAACAGTTCCATTAATCAGACAGTGGGGATGCACAATGATGTCGAATTGTATCGATGATGCATATTTGATGACACATTTAATGCACTCTGGAAGAGCAGCACATTTAGGGTTAGTGCACTAAATTATCCGTAATTTATTCATTTTACTGGATTTATAACCCTAAAGAAAGGAATATTATATTTTCTCTGTAATGCTAAAGGACTGAGTCCCAATTTCTTGTGTTTATGTATCGTCATCAGCAGATATGTTGATGAAAAATACCAGATATTGGTATCGGCCCATGAATCCCATCTCTGTGCATATACGGACACAATTTCTACAATTCCCTGTGAATATCTGGACACAATTTCCCATACGAGTGCGTATACAGACGCAATTCCCATATTTGTGCATAGACAGACACAATTCCCGTATCTGTGAATATACAGACACAATTCCCATATCTGTGCATATATGGACACAATTCCTTTATCTCTGCATATATGGACACAATTCCCATATGTGTGGACATACAGGCACAGTTCTTATATCTGCACATATACAGACACAATTCCCATATCTGCACATATACAGACACAATTCCCATATCTGTGAATATACAGACATAATTCCCATATCTGTGCATATACAGACACAATTCCTATATTTGCGCACATACAGACAGAATTCCTATATCTGCACATATACAGACACAATTCCTGTATCTGTGCATATATAGACAAAATTCCCATATCTGCGCATATATGGACACAATTCCCATATGTGTGCATATACAGACACAATTCCTATATCTACACAAAAACTGACACAATTCCTATATTTGCGCACATACAGACAGAATTCCTATATCTACACATAAACTGACACAATTCCCTATCTCAGTGCATATATAGACACAGTTCCCATATCTGTGCATATACAGACACAATTCCCATATCTGTGCATATATGGACACAATTCCTATATCTCTGCATATATGGACACAATTCCCATATCTGTGCATATGTGAACACACTTCTTATATCTGTGCATAAACTAACACACACACTGTGCATCTACAGACACAATTCACATATCAGCAGATAGATGGACACAATTCCTATATCTGCGCATAAGGACACAGTTCCCATATCTGTGGATATAATGCCAGAAAGATTAATGTTCTGATGATGTAACAAAATTGTGTACGAGTTTTTAAACAGCTCAGTGTCGCTGCTGGACTGAGAATAGTCCACCACAAACTGTGCAGCAACAGATGAGCCATTGTCTCTGACTTTATACCTACAAGGTGACCAACAAGGTAGGAGTGTCTAATAGAGTGGACAGTGAGTGGACACAGTGTCCAGTGCTGCTGTGTCTGATCCACTCAGACCAGCGCAACACACACTAACACACCACCACCACGTCAGTGTTACTGCAGTGCTGAGAATGATCCACCACCCAAATAGTACCTGCTCTGTGAGGGTCCATGGGGGTCCTGACCACTGAAGAACAGGGTAAAAGGGGGCTAACAAAGTATCAGAGAAACAGATGGACTACAGTCTGTAACTGTAGAACTACAAAGTGACACCTATATAGTAAGTGGAGCTGATAAAATGGACAATGAGCGTAGAAACAATGTTAATGTTATGCCTGATCGGTGCATGTACATGTAGGTCATTACTGAAAAATGATAATAAAGCAGTTGGACGTCTAACAGTTAAAGATTCAATATCCTGGTATTGAAGTGACACTAAAAACACAACAAGATTGTGACGTTAAATCTGTCTGGCACAAGCAGGCTGCACTCACAAGACGAGCTCTTAAAACCTTACAGGCTTTCTAAGACATAAAACTGCCTTAAATGACTTCACTTTTCATAAGTCCGTTTTTGGAAGGACACTTGACAAAACTTGGCAAAACGTCAACAGAGTGCATCAAGAAGGCCAGAAGTTTCGTTTATGAGCTCTGAAAGAAGTAGCACACATTCTCTTTAAGTAGAGCTGCGGCGTGCTGTGTGGTTTGACGCCAGAATAAAGAGCTGATGGAAAGCGAGTGACTGTTATCCAGGTGGTGGCTATGATTACCAAATTAAAAAGACATTTAGACAGATTATAACACAGGTACTCGGAATTTAATGAACGTTCCGTCGCCTCAGAACCTGATAAGAGGGGTTTTGATGTGCTGTGAATTACGCTCATCTTTACGACCTCCGTGAATCCCTCTGTCAGAAAGATAAGCTCTCCAAGGTGAGCTTCATCCTTCTTCCAGGCAGATAAGTGATCCAGAGCGCACTCTGCTCGAATCTGAATACAGGATGTTCACTCTACGGCAAAAAAAATGCAATACGAGTTCTATTTTAAATTCTAATACGAGCACTGGGTCACTTTAAATATCGGTTAATTAAAAGACACAATGAGCCAATAAAGATAAGCCTTGATGGTT